TTTGTGTGTGTGTGTGTGTGTTTTCTTCAGCATGTATTCAGAGGTCAGAGAACAACCTTTGGGAGTGGATTCTCTCCTTCCACTGTAGGATTTGAGGATTGAATTTGTGGTGATTTGAATGAGAATGACCCCTGTAGTTTGGTTGAAAGACTGTTTAGGAAGGATTAGGAGGTATGGTCTTGTTGGAGTAGGGGTGGCCTTGTTGGAGGTGTGTCTCTGGGGCTTTGAGGTTGCAAAAGCCCACACCAGGCCCAGTCTCTCTCTACATTTCTGCCTCCATCTTGTGGATCAGATGCAAGCTTTCAGCTACTGCTCCAGTGCGTGCCTTCCTGCCACCACGCACCCTGCCATGAAGATCAGGGACTAGCCTTCTGAAACTGTAACCAGGTCCCCAATTACATGCTTTCTGCTCTAAGCTGCCTTGGTCCTGCTCTCTTCATAGCAATAGGACAGTTGGTCCTGCTGTCTCTTCATAGCAATAGGACAGTAACTAAGACTAATTGATTTGAGTTGGGGCTGCTCAGCGGTAGAGCAATTTTCTAGTATACTTGTAAAATCCTGATTCCCTTCCTAGCACATATGTACCCACTGGCCTGATCTGCACTTTTTTTTTTTTTTTTTTTTTTTTTTTTTTTAGACAGGGTTTCTCTGTGTCGCTTTGGAGCCTATCCTGGCACTTGCTCTATAGACCAGGCTGGCCTTGAACTCACAGAGATCCGCCTGCCTCTGCCTCCCGAGTGCTGGGATTAAAGGCATGCGCCACCAACGCCTGGCTCCTGTTCTGCACTTTTAATGGACCTTCACTCACCAATAATTCCTAACTATGTGCATCTGCCGCTCAGGAAAAATTAGTTTGCTGAATTAAGCAGATCTTCCAAATTTTGATATATTTCATTATAAAACATTCATGATTTCACAGCCTCTAAGGCATAAACTTTGGATGCCACAGTCTTGTAATTTGGTATTTAGGAGGAGTTCCTACAGGATAAGAGTTATAAACTATAAAATATACAAAGGAGCTGGAGTGATAGTTCAGCAGTCAGGAGCACTGTTGCTCTTGCAGCATTTTCCAGCATTCACATGGTGGTTTAACCCCTGTTCTAGGCTATACAATGCCGTCTTCTGCCCTCCATGGGCACAGTACATGTGCATATATGCAACTAAAACACACACACACACACACACACACACACACACACACACACATACATCTAAAAACGGAAAAATATATATAAAAAAGAATTCAGGTTCTGTGCTATATAACTGTAATCCCAAAGCTTAGGAGATGTAGGTGGGAAAATTGAAGGTTTGAAGCCAGTTTGTGCTACACAGATATTTTTCTCAGAAAGAGAGGGAGACAGAAGAGAGGGAGGGATGGAAGGAGCGAGAGGTGGAGTGGGGAGGAGTAAGAGGTAGGGGGGGAGTGAGAGGTTGAGGGAGGCTTACACTTTCAAATACTTCCAGACTGAGAAAAGTTTTGAGGCACTGGGCAACTATTAAACTCATGACATAAAGCATCCTAATTGACATGTTTTCTAAAATTTCTCATGTTTCACTTGAAGTCTTGGATTTTATCATTGGCCACAATACTGTCAGCTGGCTTTCTTGAAGCAATAGTCTCATTTTGTTCGTTTTTTTTTGAGACACTGCCTGCCAAAGACCCACTCTGAAGTCTGTCAGTCACTCTTTGATGGCAAATGCTGTTCCAAGAAAAAAAAAAAAGGCCATTTGGTTTGTGGCTCAAAGAATTGCAAACTTGCTTTTCCTCAAGTCCACCATCAGTTCCCAGCATGGAACAAAAGAGACTTATTGATTCTTCCTGTCTTATCACATATGATGGTAACATGCCCTGCTCTCCAGAGTCAAGGTTCAACCATTTCAAGGCGATTTCAAGGGAATTCTGCAGTGATGTTGGCTTTGTCTGTGCAGAGCATGGCTTTGAAGATGATATCTGGCTAAGTAGAACATGCCTTGAGTCTTGCTGTCACTCTTGTTGACACTGGCACAAATGTCAACTCAATGAAAAAGGAGAATCCCCTCTCAGCATCACTCTAGAATTATTTCTCATTTTGAAGATTCCCCAAGGGGTGTCATGAGCCTCAGTGGTCTATAGACCATGCTTCTAGAATGTCTGCTTTAGTGGACAGTAGTCCTGAAGACAGCCTAATCTATGTCCAGTAACCCTTGATTTGATGTCAGCTGAAGTTGGTCGCTGTTGCCTGTTACCAATTTCCCATGTTAAGAAGGTCACTGTTCAGTTATTTGGATCAAAATGCTTTAGGGATTCTAATATGGTGCAATTTATAAGTGAGCCTTAATTAGGGCAAATGAAAGATCCTAAAATGTCACATCACTAAACTAGTTTAATATTTATGCTTTCTGTATTCTTGGTGTTAAGTCAATGTCAAATAATCACATCTACAGCTCATAAGTTGTGGCAAGAGGACAGAAGGCTGATAATTATTTTTATGTATGTGTGTGTTTATGTTTTGGCTTCTTTGTGTACTACCTGTATGCAATGCCTGGGGAGGCCAGAAGAGGGTACTGGATCCGCTGGAACTGGAGTTGTGTGCCATCTGGAGCTAGGAACTGGACCAAGGTCCTTTGCAGCTCCATTTCTCTAGCTTGCTTCCCCCTTTGTGGATTTTCTCAGGGACCTTACTATACCACCCTGTTATTCTTATTAAATATAAAAAAATCTGCTATTCATTGGTTAAGTCTTTCTAGCTAAGACCACTCAACAGTCAACGTCCATCCTTGTTGAGAGGCTTTAACTTGAGTACACCTGTGCTTTACTACGTTGGAATTTCTTCTAAGAAACAAATTACAAGGCTGTGGCCCCTGAAGCTTGTTTTAGAGAAGGCTGGAGAATTAGGGACCTCATGCCCAGATTTTTAGGGAGTTTTCTGTGTGTATTCTGATATGAAGACGAAGACTCTCCATTTGGAGTTCAGAGTTGAAAGACCTTAACCATATGAATTTTCATTTCTTTTCTTCCTTCTTTTCTTCTTTTTTTATGGGGGGGTGGGAGTCTGGGTCTCACCATGTAGCTCTGGCTGTCCCAGAACTCACTATATAGTCCAGGATGGCATTGGACACATAGAGTTCTGCCTGCCTCTGCCTCCTCAGTGCTGGGATTAAAGGTACACACTATTATGCTGAGTGTATGATCTATCTTTATCTCTCACCCCAATAGCATGCTTGCAAGCACACATTACACTAGTGCCTGGTGGGCAATGACTTCTGGGAATCTGAATGTTGTTCATCCTCCCTCTTCCCCCCCAAACACAAATTCATCACTCTGTATATGGCAGACAGCTGTTAGGTGGCCCCAGTGCGCCTAGTTTCCTGTTATTTCCATCATTGCACAGTCTCAAGTGTGAATGAGAGCTGTGGCATGCTTCTAATGAATTGGTTCAGGAAAAAGTGTGGGAATGTCACATCTGCGATTATGTTTTATAGAACTGTCTTCTATCTTGCTCGCTGACTTAATTGCTAACTGGGCTTGAATGCTTTGAAGATGCCAAATGCTCGGTTAGAAAGTCTCGGACGAGAGAACTCAGAACAGCTTCTGACAGACAGATGGTGGGGGATTGAGGTTCTGGTCTCACAGCCTGTGTAGGGCTGAGTCAGCCGGGAGAAGCTGCCTGAGCCCAAAGACAGATCCTCCCCCAGGTGAACCTTGGGAGGTCTTAAACTTAACAAGACACCTTGAAACCCCAGAGCCCAGATAGACTTGGGTCTGGGATAATGTATGTGAACTGTTGTGAGGTACTAAGTTTTGGAGTAATTATGGAAGTTTGGTTAGGCAGATACAATGGATATGTCCTTATATTTGTCTCTCTAGCAGGACCAGAAATGAGCTGTTCAAAGTCTCCTGGTTCCTGGTCTATGTGTCACTGGGAAGTGACTTCCAGATCGTCCTGGGGTCCGCTCCAGGAATGCACTCAGCACTGCCTCAATTCCTGGGCTCCCAGAAGAGTGTCCAGAGCTGTTTTCCACTCCAGCATCATTTAGTTTATATGCCTGAGACAGCACGACAATCAATTACACCTCGAAGTTTGAAACTTCAGGTCTGGAGAAAGTGTTAATACTTCCAAAAGTGGGGACACAGAAAACTAGCTCACCAGCAGAAGTGCAAAATGCTTGCAAGCTCCAGGTGGGAAATCTGGGCTGCTGTGAGCTGGCTCTTTACGAGCTAAATCAACTAATGAGGACAAGAGAATATACCTGTTTCTAGAGCGGGCTGCTGGATAGAATGAGAAATCGCGCATGCCGCTTAGCGTACCGCTCGGAGCAGAGTGAGCCAGGCCCTTAGGATTTCTCCGTGGGGTCTTAGGTCCCGATCAGCCTGGGGCCACCCAGGGGCGGAGCGCAGCTGGGACCCATCCGAGGTCTGCCCCGCCCACGCGGGGCCGAAGCCCGTCGAATGACTCGGTGCAACGTGTTGGTGGCTGCTGCGGGCGGTGGCGCGGGTTCTTCCGG